ATAAGCGATGCTCCAAGTCAACGTACAGGGTCCAAGTGGTCAGTAGCTATGAGAACCAGGTGTCTGGACCCGTAATCCGGGCAAATATTCGCTTAGATGGTTGTGCCAGTGGTGAAATCAATCTGTGCCAGATAGAACTCGATTAGATCTATCGATTTTTACCCATTACGCAATGATCCAAGTCAATATACAGGGATAAAGTGGTCAGTACCTATGAGAACCAGATCTCGGGACCCGTAATCCGGGCAAATATTCGCTCAGATGGTTGTGCCACTGGTGAAATCACTTGTGCCAGATAGAACTCGATGAGATCTATCGATTGATGCCAAATAACCAGTGATCCAAGTTATGGAACCAGGATCAAAGAGTAACGATGTATAAGAACGAGGCTTGGGGATCCGTGATGGGAAAACATGTTCACCTCGGGAATGGTCCCAGTGGTGCGGTTAAGTGTATGAGATAGAGCGGGATGGTTCTGGTAACCATTCATCAAATATTTCAGGAAATTCACTTAAGTATAAAGGTGCTGGTAGTGCTCCTGCTGGACCATTAGGTGATCGTCTAGAAATAGGCAAACTCATATTCTCTTCTTCCGTGATCATTTCCATTGGTTCTATTTGTTCGACTGTGTTCTTAATAGATGCAGCTGCCATATATACCTTCCATTTTTTGGCTTCTGATTGAAAATATTCTGTCTGAAAATGAATTTTCAATAGGAATAATCGAAAAATTATATGATTTAATTGATGTTATATTATTATTATTATTCGTCGGTATGACTGATGGTGGTTTTATCAATAATTCTCGTGTAGAACTTTCTAAAGGAGATATTATCATTGATATTGCATCTGCTTCACTAGAGACGATCGATTTCTGAATATCCAGTGTATGATATGTGAGCATTATACCCATGGAGTAAGATATTGAAGGAAAGGGACTGAGTAACGCGTTTCCGAGATTGTAGCATGCGTTTCGCAACGTTTTTTTAATACAGAACGCGTTTCGCGGCATTCTTACTTAGATAAAATGCGTTTTGCTACCATCATGTTTTTGAAACGATCCAAAATGCTTTTTTTCGAGGTAGCGTTTCGAAGCGTTTCAGAAGTAAAATGTTGTCGAGCGTACTTCGGTCGACAGATGATGCGTTCCACAGATACAAATTGCGGGGAACGTGAAACGCGTTTCTTTTTCAAACGCGTTTTCCATTGTTTTTGCTTGGATCATGCAAAATGTATCCATTCTTCGCATAGAATCTTGCAGGAATTCACCCATATAAAGCATATGAATTAAGCAAAAAATTTTTCGACATTATTTTGGAAATGATATGCAATAGCACTTGAAAGTTTTTCTCCTTGCACTGTTTTAGTACATGAAAATCATGGCCCAAATTTTTTGAAGGCAAGATTACAACTGAATTCTTCTAAAAGTTTAGGTTGCTAGACTGTTATCTAAGTCTGATTCGAAGACTAATATTGAACGTCAAAGTATAACAACAAGATATTCTTCTTCTTTTAAAACTCATTTCTTCACTTTTTTATTGAAAGAAAGCGCGTTTCGTAACATTCCACCAAGAATTGTTTTTAAACATTGAACAATTCGAAAAGATTTTTTAAAGACTGGCGCTAATATAATGAATACGACAACTTTGTTTGGTTATTTCTGAATGAAAGAATTTTCGCGTTATGTATAATTTGAATATTTATTAATAGGAATTTATATTTGAACTACCTGATAGTGACCGATGATACTGTGTTTAAGACCACTAAATATGATGCTAGTTCGTACATTATTGATGTAAGCGTGACTTTTTAATAAAAGAGATTCGACTAACAGAAGAAAATTCTTTTTCATTTAGTGATGTGACTAGGTAAAAAAATAACGAATTTAAATTTACAAAAATCCATTAAATCAAGAAAATAATTGAAAAGATTAATTTCTAAATTTTCTGAAGTTTATGTCTAAGAAATTCCACTTGTTTAAATATTAAATACACTTTAAATCAATTGAACTCGTTTTGCTTGAGTATTTAAATTTAAGTTTGAAAGAGTTTAAATAAAAAATATATCAAGAGAAGATCACATTTGTAATTGGACATAGGCGCCAAGGAAATGATGATTTTTAATTCAATGGAATGGGAAACTAGAAATCTAATTTAGTAAGTTTACGTGAGGCTCTGGATGACAGTAGAATAAACACTGATATCATTATAGATTATTTTAGTTGAATGGCTTGTGCAATGTCTTCTACTCTTACGTTCTCGTGTTCGAATCCATGTCTTGACTTTATTAAAATTTATGTAAGTTATAGTTCTAAAGGTCTATAAAAAAAAATAAACGAGTACATGAATTGTATCTGCAACCCAAGTTCAATGAAGTACTTGACGGTTATCATTTTTTTTTCATCCAGAATATGCGACACTACAGTTTGAGAAATGCTACGAAACTTTTTAGAAAACGATCATTCCACAGCATTTGTTTTAGCAGATGTAAAACGCGTGAAATTGGTCAGCATTAACGCGTTTCGCAACTATGGAAAAATGCGTTTTGAGAACGCGTTTTTTTCGCAGAAATTTACACCATGGGTAGCAACTGTTGTAGGTGTATAGCGTCACGAAATAAGAATAGAAAAATGTTAGGCTCAGGTATCATATATCAATCTTTCAGCCTGTATTTGTGCTGAGTATCGATCTGTCTGCGTTGCTGTATAGGTATCAATGAACTACCTTCGAATATGTTGAGTGAAAAATTTTACAAGTTTCAAATTTGAAGCTGTATCTCCTATATATCTAGAAAGTGATGAAGATAGAAAAACCAAATATTTTCATATATCTGAAGACCTAAAGAAAGTAATGTTTCCTAAAAAAATCGCTGTTGTGTTGCTAAATTATATTTTTGTGTTGCTTCTGGCAGCACAGAATACATTTCCAATAGTATTTTTTAGTTTAGATATTGAAGTTTGTCTTTCACATGGATGAACCAATTTTGCATATTCTAAAGCAATAAAAATTAATTTTTGGTAAAATATTTCGTAAAACACTCACCAATTATAGCACGAATTTGTTCACGTGGTAATGATTTAAGGCACTTTTCCGCTTGCGTATCAATGTCAGGATATAAACTTTTTGTAACAGCTCTACATGTTCGTGTTATATGTGTTGAATGTTTACAATTGAGTAATTCAGTTTCACTCAGATTTAAAATCTCACAGATGTTTTCAATTTTTTTTTCTCTTTTTGATAATTTTTTGAAGTTTTTCTTTTCTTTTTTAGCAATATTTTCCAGTGTATCAGGCTGATCAATAACACATTGTGCTGGTGATGCATATGGTCTATTTGAAAAATTGGTTTTTGATATAATTATGCAATAGATAACATACTTCGGTGTTAAATTAGCTTTATACATCTCTATTTGTTTTTTCAAGTTAATATTTTGCTCCACCAGCTCATCATATGATATTCTCGACGTGTTCAAAACTTTTTTTCTTTTTTCACCTATTAAAAAAAATGAATAAGATAAGCAAATGTCATCTTAAATGACCGAAGTAAGAGAAAAAGAAACTCGATGTTAGTATATATTTGCTTTCATAGAATGGAACACAAAGGTCCATCTAGTCCTCTAAAGTAGGGATGGAAGATCTATTCTTCCAAATCTTGAATCGATCTATGAGGAGGCGGACGTCATCGCTTCATTTATATTAAGAATAATCGAAAGTGTTGAGGTATAGCGTTTTTCAACAGTATCAGTTGATTCATCGTAACCAAAATTAATTAAAATAAGAAATAAAATATTCAATATGATCCGAAAAATTAGAATCAACTTATTTACCTGTACCTGTTGATAAATCATCTGATCTTGTTGATGATGAAGGTGAATTTTGATTAGGAATGATTGAAATAGATGATGAACAAATGTTATTATTTTCTGAACCTGAAGAAAAACAATCTTGATTTACTAAAAGAAAAAATAAAATGCTTAATTTGATTCAAGAATTACAATTAATTGATTTAACTTCACCAGTTGATAAATTTTTTGTTTTTGTTGATGACGAAATTGAATTTTTATTAAGAATAATCGAAAGTGTTGAGGTATAGCGTTTTTCAACAGTATCAGTTGATTGATCGTAACCAAAATTAACTAAAATAAGAAATAAAACATTCAATATAATTCGAAAAATCAGAATCAACTTATTTACCTGTACTTGTTGGTAAATCATCTGATCTTGTTGATGATGAAGTTGAATTTTTATTAAGAATAATCGAAAGTGTTGAGATATAGTGTTTTTCAACAGTATCAGTTGACTGATCGTGACCAAAATTAACTAAAATAAGAAATAAAATATTCAATATGATTGGAAAAATTAGAATCAACTTATTTACCTGTACCTGTTGATAAATCATCTGATCTTGTTGATGATGAAGTTGAATTTTGATTAGGAATTATTGAAATAGATGATGAACAAATGTTATTATTTTCTGAACCTGAAGAAAAACAATCTTGATTTACTAACAGAAAAAAAAAAATGCTTAATTTGATTCAAGAATTATAATCAATTGATTTAATTTTACCTGTTGATAAATCTTTCGCATTTATTAATGAAATTGTAGACAATTCAAAAATTCGGCTTATTTCTTCGGTGTTATTGTTCAAATTTTTGTTGGTTACAAGTGATGGATGTGGATTTCTTGTATTTCGCAGCATATATTTATCTGATTTTCGTTGTTGTCGTTGTTTGCGTTTTTTCGAAGGCATTGTTCTCGAAAAATATTTATCTGAAAAAGACTATGATAACCTAATATGATAGTAGACGAAATTAAGGTGAATTTAGCTATACATTATCGCATAAATATAATACGATACGGAACAAAATACTATTTACGGAATTTTCGGATTCTCTTTGGACTGTTTATTATTACTCAAATTTACTTCGTTGATTTTTAAATAGTGTCTACCATTCATAATCTCAGAATAAACTGTGATAGATGGCACAATTGTACATAATGGAGGAATTATAACTTTCGAAATAACTTAAGTTTTGTTAATGCTAAAAATTAGACTGGCAGAAAAACCAAATTCTTTATTCAAATTTATTTTTGTCTAGATCCTAAAATATCTGTTTTGAAAAAATTCAGTTTTAGTTAAAATCACGTCTTTTTGAAAAATAAAATAAGATATTCTGACTTAACAGCATATAGTCAAGTAACATGATTTAACTGTCAGCCCTTTTCATATTCATACGGATGGCTACAAAGTAGAGTACTGCGGGACAGTCCCGAATCCCGAAAAATCCCGTTTGTCCCGTCCCGAAATTTTTTCGGGACGGAACATTCGGGATCGGGACAAATTCGAAAAAAATAATGTCCCAAATTTTCTTAATATTTATACCAAAATGAGTATATTTACTTTCTATTTTCTTAAAGCAACTTTATGATGCCTTTGTTTCTCTGCTATTCATCGAAACACATGTCTTTTTTCGCTATTATTGACCTTGAAACGTCGTTTTGTCCTTTTTGAAGAACAAAATTTTTATATTTGTCTCGATCCACGGGACAAATCGGATTTTTCGGGACATTCAGAAATTTTTCGGGACGGGACATTCGGGATCGGGATACAAAAAAAGTTTGTCCCGCAGTTCTCTACTACAAAAAACTTAACTTTTAAATTTATTCCATTCGTCAAAGAGTTTTGTCGCAGCAAAATATTAATGATCATGTAAGTCCTTTTTTATTAGAAGTCCTTCAAATAAAATAAAAGATTTCCAGTGTAGTCCAAAATTTATAGAACATTGATTTGTCGTGAAATAGCATAAAAATGATTAAAAAGTTAAATAAGAGAAGCGATTTATTCTTTTTCAATTTCAAAGTGTCCCAACATAGAATTGTGTTTTAAAAATATTTTTTTCTAAATATAAACATTTGATTGTACTCATGTATTACGCACTCAATCTTCCGCTTCTTTAATTTGTCCTGTAATTCTGTATCGTGATCGGTAAATTTAATATGAATGTCAGACAGCAGCTTGACAAAAAGCAGAACTACTTATTATATATTTTAAGTATTAGTTTTATTTTTATTTGCAGCATTTCTCAGAGCTATTTAAAAAACTATACGAGAAGCGCAACCACAGAAATCATATTGTATTTCTTTCATCCTATGTACTTCAGAATTTATTACCCCAATATTCATACCATCCCAATCACGATGATTTTAATATTTCTATAGATATCTAATGTACATTGTACTCTGTTTACTAACTTTTACATTATCAGTGAACAAAACATATCGATTGATTTCTTCAGTCTAAGTCCACACCTACCTCACTCTTTTTTTATGCGCTAGCAATGCAGTCATAATTAAATATACTAATTAATTCCTCGGTATCTTAACATTAATAAAGCTGAAACAATTATCATCGTTTTTAACTTTTAATTTAATCAGACTATCACTGAATAACGACTTAAATGTTGTTATTTAAATAAATTTTGCAATTTTGAAGAACACTCATGATATTCCTTTTATTGATAAAAGACTTTCTCATATAAAATTAGAAATTTTTTTCTTTCATAAAAATTGATTTTATCTATCTTAAACAGAGGAATTATCTACTAGATACCGAACACTATTTTGTGACAAAATAAAACCATTTTTATACATTAAAACATAATCAATAGTTGATTGAACCCAAGATTTTATAATAATGCACTAAAATAAAATCAAATACTATTCACATAATATCGCTTGATAGTAATGCATTTTAATACATTTTAATACATTTTAATGCATTTTAATACATTTTAATGCATTTTAATACATTTTGTTGTTGAGGCTGATCTAAATAAAAGAAAAAAGTTATAAGAGGATACTAACTGTTCAGTTTCATGATCACATGATCTAAAAAGAGAAGTTATTGTTATATGATAATGCTTACTTTTCATTAAGATGAACAGATAATCGAAACAAAAACAAGTTCAATGTAATAATACTTAATTCTTGATTCAGACAATTAGATGATTTAAATGTAAAAAAGAATTATAACCATATAACAGTGCTCAAGTTTCTTTTTATGATCAGATTCTCTAAATAGAAAAAAAAAATCTTCTCTTGTATATTAATACTTATAGTTCACTGAGATAATTAGATGAACTAAATTGAAAAAAAAGAAGTTATTGTTATTTAAAAAAATACAAATGGTTTATTGTTATGATCAATTGATCTATGACAAAGAAGAAATTATTTTTACAAGATGATGCTTACTTTTCGATCAAGATGATCAGATGATATAAATAAAATAAAATAAACTTCCAATATAATGATACTTACTGTCCAATGAGATGATTATGTGATTTATTTTCACAGAAAGAAATATTTTTATAAAAAACATTCATACTATTTAGCTTACGATCAGCTGATCTAAACAAAAAAAAGCTATTTTTCATAGAATAATACTAACTATTCATTTAGATGACCACATGATCTAAACAGAAGAAAACAATATTTATTTTTATATAATCATGCCTACTATTGATGTTTGTTGTAATATCAACCAATTAATCGAGATTAGTTCGCGATCGATCATCAATTTTTTTGTTCAAATCGCGATCGAGCAACAAAAGTAACACGATTTCGATGGTATCGGAATATCTCAGAAGTTTTACGTTCGTTTAGCATGCGTCGAATGTGCTTCATTTATGATTTGGAATGGTGCTGATAGAAAATGCATTGTGCTTTTTTTTGGTCGTTCATGGAATCGAAAGGGGACAGACTTTGAAGTTACAGAACACTTTAAAGTAAGGAGTTTCGAAGGTTATGTAATTTGCAGACTGCAAGTAACAACTGAAGTTTAAGAGTCTCATGAAAAAATTATTCTTAGTTAATATTTATACTTACAAATCAGTTAGTGTTCGAAATGGCTGAAGAAAGTGTATTTGGTTTATCACAGAATCATTGTTGCTGTTGCATTTCGAACGGCTTTTATGGTTAAAAATATTTTATCAATAATGTTACTATGTAGTGTCCATGAAAAGTGGGATTGGTACTTTTATATTGGTAGTCACATAAAACTAGTTTGAAAGAAAATAATCGTCACGGATTCGTGGATTTCTTGCAGGGTCAAAAGACACTTTTTAAGTCCTGTGTATAATCTTCCGCTCGATATCAGCCAAGTCAGTGTGAGAATATAATTGGTTTCTCAATAACGATTTTGTTGAATGAACAAGATATTCAGATTATTAGTTTGGGGTAATATTACAGCAATGGTTAAGTTTTCGTCCTGTAATTTCGATGGTACTTTCTTGTTACTGTGAATGCTGTGATTTTTGACTGAAAGACAAATTCATAATTACGGAGCATTTTTTGCTTTTATATATTTGAAACACTGAAACAATGTGTTGTATCTATGTAGTTAATAAAAAAACGATGTGCAATATTATCCACTATTCACCTCCTCATATTTAGAAATACTTTTTACTTGTCTTGTGTTTCTTAATAGACATTCGATAGATGTTTCTCTCAATTTTTCTTTTGTGAAAAGCTTGTGCTTATTTTATTCGTTTATGAACTCTAATCGCACTGTCTTGCTCAATATTTACTCACAGTTTGAAGAAATATTATTCCGACCAGCTTATAAAGAACAGTAACATAGTTTTTTTATTAAATAGACTTTTTTGAATCATAACCAGGTATTAAACAAGCATTTTATAGATTATTTATTACTGTTGTGCATCGAATTAATACATGCTTTTTATGTTTTATTTACCCTTATATCATTTTCAATTTTTTATTTTGATTTCAGTTTAACACAAAATATTTTATAGCAACTATTGAACATCAAAATCGAAAGTAAATGAATACATTAGTCTTTTTTTGAAATTAGACTCTATGCGTTACTAGGATAGTCAATTTTTGAAACTTCTAAATTTTTAAGTCTCAATTGATCTTGATAATACTGATGCAGATTGACGTTTTGCTCTTGTTGTGATTGTTGCAATTTCATGAGGTGTGACTTTGATGTAATCAGTGTTGTTATTGATGGACAATGAATGCAACGCTTCAATGAACAATAAACCACAATGACTAATATTAAAATAATTGTTAGGGAGATAATAACAATTCTCCATAGGAAATTTTCTGATTCTGCAACATTTGTAACCCTGAACGGTTTTATTTTAATTCTTTCGAGAGCATCAATAACTTTGTCGATATCACCCGAGGGTAATACCGGCAACCGAGGGTAGCGTGCTTCTGATTGCTTTATTTGCTGTTGAACATCAAAAACAGCATGGATTGAGTTGGAAAGTGTGTTGTTTATAATAATCGTTATATTTTCTGTCACTAATGTTGCTTTGCCTATCAATTGAAAGTCTTCACACGTCAATACCGTGCCAGGTTCATTGTATACAATTGAAACAGCTGGTAAGTTAAACCGCGTATTTCGAACAGAATGATGCTAAAGAAAATAGTTTTGTTTTTAATCCTTTACCCCCCCCCCCCTACCACGGTTCCAGAAGAGACGCTAATAAAACAATTAGTGAAATGAAGTACTGTTATCTTTAGTAGTTCAATAGTATCATCAGATTGGCCAGGATCCTTTACATGTACGTACGGTGATTCGGCAACTCCAGTTGCCATTGGGAGGTAAGGACATGAAAACCACTTTTTCAGTTTTTTGAAAATAGTTTATTATTTTCGAAAAAAATATCATATATTGTTGTATTCTAACAATACAAACAATAAAAGACTAACATATAAAAAATATTCTTCTTTTTTCTACGACACATGAGCATCTGAAGCAAGTTTGCATGCAGATAATCTCTAATTTTCTCGAAATAAATAAACCGATAAGTAAAGGCCATAATTATTGATACGCTATTTTTCAAGTTCAAATATGATAAGATCTGAAAGAATTACGGTGTGAGTATTGGTGTTGATGTGAGTGTAGTTCGATTATGTTCTTGTCCAATTTTAATGCTTATACCCATCTACATCTGCTCCAAAATTTTATATAACAACAAATGATACTCATTTTTATAAATAATGGCAGTCTATTTACCTATTTGTATGTCAACGCAAAAAATTATCGCATTTAGACGAGAATTTCTAAAATTGTTTTTATGTCCTCACCCCCCAATGGCAACTGGATTTGCCATTGCATGTAGTCCAACCTCATGTTCGACTAATGTTTTTGAGGACTTTGAAAAACATTTCGTTCAACAGCAGCAACTTTCGGCAACATTTATCACATAAAATATCGACAAGATATACATTGCTCATAAATAAAAACAACAAAAGAAGAACAAAAGATCCTTTTTTCAAATAATCGTCTATTCTTCTGTTTTGTAAGTTTTGTGTATTGGAAACAGAGTTATGATTAAAGGTTCTCCTTTTTGCCGATTGGTAGCTTAGGAAGTTTCCTGCACAAAATATGCAAGAAGATTCTCAATACTTCAAGTGCTAAATTTTTTACGGTGTTTCTAAAAATGGCAATTCCAATTGCCAATGGGAGATAAAGGGTTAATATCTGAAGTAAAATTTAACTGTGTCATACCTCTGACATTAACTGAGTTGGTATAATTGGCTGTTTTAAGCAGGTAATATTGGATTCAGACGAGATTGCCCACCATGAGTCCATTAGCTTTACTCGAAACGAATGTGATGAAGGTACTGGTTCATATCGACAAATTGTCAGATCAACGCTATGCAATATCTGTTCTATACAACAATTATTCATAACTCCATTTCCAATAGATGGAATACCTTTACACACCGTTATAATTCCAAAGCGACACAAGTGTGTTTCGTCTGGATACCATTCGATTGTGGAATTATGATCACTATGCTGTGCGATGTACTGCGGTATGCGTGCTAATTTTATGAATATTCCATTGTGAAAAAAAGGAATCGTTGTTAAACGGAATACATTATAATATACATTCGGATGAGGGAGAGTAAAATAATTCGTGATAATAAACCGCCCAATTTCATCAGGAGCTGATGCGTCATAAGTTGTGCTGGGATGAAATGAAATAGCTTGAAAAGTCAACATCATTCTAATAGCTTCAATAGTAGGTAAGTGCCCATATAATGTAGTGTAATTTAATTTAGCTTCTTTGAAAAGGTTTGCAATTATGAAATTGAGATCTGTAGGAGCAACAAAAAGTAGACTGGGTCGATCTTCATACATCTCAATGAAAGATTGATACAAGAGAGAATTTTCGTGTCGAATATTAATTTTTTGTTGTTCATTGGCCAAGTAGGCAATTGATTCATTTAACGCAGCATCATTGAGTTCTAATTTATTTATCATTTTGTTTTGATCTTTAATTAAATTTTGTGTCTCTTTTAACTCTCGACCAAGTGATATGGCATCGTCACGTATAGTAATCAAAGTTGTTCCATGAACTGCCACTTGTGATTGAAGATCGCGTAATTTGTTAGCCTCATTAATGATTTGACTTCGAAGTCCAGTTATAGCAACGGTGTTCATGGCACCAACAACTAATGCACCTCCACTCATAAACCAGCTGAGAGGATCACGTTTGAAACGAGCAAGATGATCAGCTGATTGTGACCAATTAAACAGATAACTGCATGCAGGCATGGTTTTTGCCATACCGAGTGGCACAAGATAACAACCAGAAGTGGAAATAGGTATGATCATTGTAAGATTTATCATACGTTCATTGGGTGCAAGTCGACCAATATGTTGAAAAAAGAGGCCAGTTTCTGGGTGACTAATCAAGCCTTTTGGCAAATGCACTGTCGAAACGAGTGCAATAATTATGAAAGTCAGATAGAGAGTAAAAATGTCAGCAAAAAGCATTGTAAGTTGTTGTGGATCAATAGATGAGTATATCTCGATATATATAGGGAGAGAGAAAGAGAGAGAAACAAAAAGAAAGAAAAAGAAAGAGAGAGAAAGAGAAAGAAAGAGAAACATTGTATATAATTTCTGTTTTGTTTTAAATGAGATAAAACAATTGGCATGGACTATTGGTTAACAATCGCATTCATAAAGCTGTGTCTGTTTTCTCACCAAATTAATTTGTTTTAGAAAAATACAAAAACATCAAGTGACAATATGCAACAGCGTTGCATCATCTTTTCTGCACGCTAATAAACACATATTTGTCGCGTTCATAAGTATTCTTGAAAAAGATAGAATGTAAATAAATGAGAAAGGTGGGGATGAGAAAATGTTAATGCCGTAACATGGCATTTTTTAATTCAAAAAATTATTAAAAAGTCAAATGTTGTCGTGAATAAAGAGAAGGAAGAAAAAAAGTGCCACTCATGTATATATATTTCGACTTCGTGAAGCACAACAATCATATTGTTTGTATCTAGACAAATGGTGAAGTTACTAAGAAGAATAAAACGAAAACGATCCTTATGGGAAAATATTGGTGGTAGTGAAGGATTTCATACAATCCTTAATGGATTAGATGGCGCACTCAAAATTGCGCTTCTGGCCGAAAATGTACCATGCAATTATCGAGAGCCGACTTCTATATGGGGATTCTTGCCGAAACTTCAAAATTAGAAGGAGGTAATTCTCGAAAAAATCGAAAATGGTTGTATACCGCATGGTCAAGTGATAGACATGAAGTACGCACATCATATAAAACTACACAAGAAACTGATAATCTACTACAACTTATTGCCATGAAAGTCAACAGCAATTCCAATGATGTGGTATGCAGTAGCAATAAGGTAGAACAATAAAGTGTTGTTGATAGAAGAACATTTCTGTAAAATTGACTGAAAATCTTTTATTGCAGGAAATAAATAATTTATCTTTATCGACGGTTTCATCAATAGAACCTCGGCAAGTTCGATCATGTAAGAAGAAAATTCAACCAACACAGCAGTTAAAAGAAGAAATAAGACATTTTTCTATGCCATATGATCGATGGCGTAAATTTTTTAATCATGATACTTATACATTGTCGGAAGAATGGGCAAACTTATTAGTACCATATCTTGCAGATATAGGCATTACTTGCTCATTGATATTTGATTACACTCATGTACGTACGAAAAATTCTCGCAAAAGAAATGCCAAAATAATCACTTGCACTGGTCACTGTAAGCTGCAGCAGTGTCCCATTGTAGCTCAAGTTTATGTTGGCAACCAACCCAGGAAAAAACATAGTGCGTTCCTATTCACGGTACATACTATTGGTGTGCAAAATCACGATCCAAAAAAAGAAACTGCGGCTCGACCAATAACCGGCATCGTTCGTGAACAAATGGGTATTAGTAACACTCTTTTCTTTTGTCACTATTCTTCGAAAAATACCATGTAATATTTTAGCTGAACGTGTCAAGCAATTGGGACCATTAGGTGCTTTTGAAGAAAACCTTCGTAATGCAAACCAAGAGTTGCTTGCAGCAGGCAATTTTACTGAGGTCCCTTCTACCGATGTGCTGAAAATGATCAAATATGAATATGAGAAAAAATACAAACTTGACGAAGATATATTCAAAGAGGTCCGAATTCTTCGTGAAGATCTACTTAATTTCGATGTTACTTCCAAAAATGTAAAAGGTACGTACTCCAAATATATTGCGAAGATCTAAAAATAAATGCACGGTAGATAATAATAGTAACAATAGGTATGTTGTTGCTAGTCGCTGTGTGCATGAATCTGAGACGGAATATTTTATCGGGTATGTTTATGAATATATTATTTATTCAGACGAAGTGCGCACATGCAACTTTGAAATGAATCTAAACAGTAATGAATAAATAAATATAGAAAGATAAAGACACCAGAGGTTATCCCAGAAAAAAAAAACATTTTTTGTTAAGTACATGCACATCGTTGACTGCGAAATATATAAGTTGGAATTGAATCTTTTCTAGCCTTCTATAGAGGAAACAACCTTCGCCTCATTTCACTATCCCAGTTAACATCCAGATTATGTCTGCATAAATATAAACTGTGAGCAAATATATCTTAATGAAAATAGAAAAATAAATAGTACAGAAAAAATGTGCCTAGCGCATAGTTTGTTGTAGAAAAAAAACGACACTTTTCCAATAATTATTTCAAATTTTAAGTCTTATTCATTTTTCAAGATGTTTCAGTATTGAGGTGCACTGCACTTATCACTTTCTTACTATGTATGATATCTAAAAATAAATGAATTTACTTATTCAAGCAAAAGAAACGCAAAAGGCAAAAAATTAATGAGCCTTTGCTGTAACTGAGAAACGTTTCAACAATTAATGAGCACTTAGAGAATCCAACAAATGTAATCATCAAATAGTTGATGAATAATGGGATTGAGGCCGCAAACATGATATTTAGTTTTCTATCTAATACTTCGATTGGAACTAATGATCATTGAGCAAATGATAAAACCCATTGCACACTGTTAGTGAATCTTAATGAATATTACAGTATCGCTAAGTTTAAGTAGACAACTTGTAATTAACGTACATGTAATTGTAAAGACTTGCTATCGCTTATTATTTGAAAGTAAAAATGTTTTTATAACTTGTAAAATTAAAATTATTTGGGTTTAGGATTTATTCAAACGACTTCTGAGTGGCCGTTTACGATTCACTTTTTCACAGAAGCCCAATTGGACCGATTTTCAAGTTATTGTAAATCAGAACACTATTCTTGTTTGCACATTGATGCAACGGGCTCGGTTATAAGACCATTGGTGAATCAGGCGTCTTGTTTTTTTTACGCAATGGTTTTTAAAGATAATGTTGATGATAACAACATCGATATAAATTTTGATCCGCAAAGTCTTATACCACTTGCTGGTGCACTTCTATGTGATCAAACTACTTGTTCTATATTACATTTTCTGAATGTGGTTCGCGCCAAACTTGCACTACGAAATTCAAAGAGAATTCGGCCATCATTTGTAATAATCGATTTTTCGGCGGCCTTACTCAATGCTGTACTTGATGCATTTAATACGGAAAACATACATTCTCATTTGAGACGATGTTTCAACGTTCTTGCTGGTGCTATGGATGCTGAACAACTTCGAAATATCACGTTTGTTCGTTTATGTTGTGCTCACAGTATGAAAGCCTTTAGTCGAAGCTTAAGCAAAATTAAGAGAAGCAGTGAAGATCGTCACAATTGCTTGAGTCTATTCGCTATGCTGCTAAATATGTCTAATTTCGACCAAATTTTCGAGTTATACTCACAAATTATTGAAGTTTACGGTAACCCGTATTCGAAAAATGCAAAAAAGATTGTTGCTGAATTACTTGAGAGCAATAATCTGCATGATTTCGACGTAGACGAAATTTGTGGCGACATAGGTACAGATGAAGTTGTAACAGTAGACGGAAAGCCGTTGGAAGTTATTGATGATCTCTACTTATCCGATGATGCAATAATACACCAGTCACCGTTCAATGTGAAAGCACGTGAAAAACTCGAATTACTTGATAGAATCATCAACAAAGTTCCTCTTAATGATAAGCCATCAAATTCACTTTATTCAAGAGACATTGTTCTGATTTTTTATAAATGGTTCGCCTACTTACCATTGTGGACAGGTTTGCTGATAGATTACAAAGAAAGGTATGTAATAATCATTTATTGGAAATTACATAGAGTTGAACGCCACAACTATCACCGTAATGATATCGATTTTAAAACATTAGTCGGGTACACTTGTCTAGAAAACGATAAGTACTGTTATGATGATATTGCTATTTTTCTTAGACTATAATGAAGAATTGAATATTCGAATATCTTTTCTTTATAAAGTTCTTTTTGCTTAAAGATAATAGCTATGAATACTTTCAAAGGGATGGTAGTGAATCATTATTTCATTTCCTATTGAAGACCGCGTCACAGAAGGGTATTTTTCATGCTGTCCTGTCATGAAGCCCAGTTAGAGTAGGACTTAATGCTCTCGGAACATACAAACTAATGTTTACTATGAAATGACTTGGTAACCTATCGAAAAAGTTTTGATCATTTTTATATTTATTATTCATACATTTGCTAGATTATTTCAAAAGAATAATATTCATTTATAAAAATGATCATAAATCCATTCAGAAACTTATCACGATTACATAAGTTTTATTCAAGTATAATCTGATTTTAAAATTATATTTTATTATTTTTATTTCTATGATTTTTCCAAATTTCTTTTATCGAACAAGATTTATTGATAAATCCTAATTAAAAATTTCAGAATATTTCTATTATTAAAAGGCGTTGTAAAAATTTATAAGAAAAAAGAATCAAACATGATCACTCAATATCAGAATATCACGGAATAAAAAGAACATTATGTAAGTTCTACGCTTGAAGACGAAAGAATTCGTTTTAGTGCCATGTACTGTCTTTTTTAAAATAAATGCATGACACTAACACTAGTATAGTCATATAAAACTAGATATCAGTCAATAAAAACAGAAATTCTTTACGGCGGAGTATTATTTTTTAATTAAGATGAATCATTTCATCAGGATTGAGAAAATGTTGAACTGATTTTTTTTACTATTTGCTTTACGTGGCAAGAGTTCTTATCAAAATATAATGAGTTAAAATGAGTATCACATTCATAGATTCCAAGAGAACCGATTGAAAATATGAAAGCATCAACAACCTGGTAGAATCAAATAATGACAAATATTCTGAAAATTCATGTTTGCATTTATTATATGATTTCCAATTGCGTATTATAAAAAATCACTATGAGAATAAACTATTTTGTCTTGCTGTAATGGCGGTCCTGTTTTCTGTGATTATTAAAAAAAGTCACTGTATTATACTCATGTGTCAGAAAATAAGTGATTCTTGAACCGAAGCTTATTTCAATTTCAGTTACTATTCCACAATAATTAATATTTCACTTATTTTTTTTAAACAATAGATTCACTCATAAACGTTTTGAAATCATCCACTTTCTTGTTCAGTGTATTGTGACAATAATATATAAATAACAGAACAAAATGGCAATTATTTTCTGTTTTTTTCCTTCTTCTTTTTCTTTCTACTGGTATGGAACAACAAATAAAATGATAATATTGGACGAGATGAGTCAAACTTCATCGAATCGATGGAAAAATGCAGAAAGAAAAAATGTCGAAAGTGAAAAATATCGAAAATAAAAATGTCAAAAACAACAATATGAGATGAAGATGAACATGTAAGATTGAAGATGAGGGTGAGGAAGATTTGTACTTCAATATACTCGTTTTCAGCATTTCTATCCATCTACATTCGTATTATTTTTGTTTTTGATATCTTTATTTTCGACATTTTTCCCTTTCGATATCTTTCCTTTGTGTCTTTGTTCATCATATCACTTCCATCTTCTTCCGTTTCAATAGAAAGAAAAAAGGAAAGAAAAATATAAATAGTGGTCGTTGTGTACTGTTATATTTTATTGTTAAAATGTACCGACGAAGAAAGCAGATGCTTTTAAACGTTTGGAAGTAAATTCATTCTTGTAAAATATAAATAAAGATGTTAATTATAGTGGTAGAATAATTGAAACTGAAATAATGATGATGCACTTGCAACTGAATACAAAAAAAAAAGAACAGAAGATTTTTATAAGGAAGAAGCTTCGCATCGCTGTAGTTGTAAATTTTCAATTCGAGTGTGAATTAAAAATACTTCGCAATGCTGCAGCGAAAACCGATTTGATAAGAGTTAATGAAGATCTTGAACAAAGCATAATACAGAGTATGGATTCCTACAACAGTTCTTTCTATTGTGTCTAAATAAAACTAGTAGTTCAACAGCTCTTTATGTCAGTAAGATTTAAACTAACGCAAGTATTTTCGATCGGAAGCCTGTATAAAAAAATCGATTCCACCGAAAGCACAGAATATATTAATTCACTAATATACATATCTAATGCTTAGATACGCATCAAAAGGTCCGTCATTCTCTTCTACTGAACGACCATTTGGCTATGGCAGAATGTCCAACAGCTCAGTGGAATCATATTTCAACATAATAAAAAACTCGATTTTAAACAAAAAGAAATGTTCGACACCTGCAACATTTCTAAGAAAGAGTTATGCACACGTATTAGCTCGAATTAAGGCACGTCAATTCGGAGTTACCCAATTATCGAGAGGTAGGGGACGATTAAAAGGATACAAAGATAATTTGAACGCTAAAGAGCCATGGAGAAAACGAACTCAATCAAGTCCATCAACTACAAAGCGTCGTGGACGATACTTCAGCAAAAATCAAAATTTTATAGGACAAAACAATAAAAACCGGTACGTTTATTTTTATCAAAATATGTTAATGTTTACTTACTAAAATATGAATTTTAGGTGGGTCAAAACCGCTTCTGTTTCTAACCTATCCTGTCAAACAACAACAAAAACAAAAGCACCAGTAGCAACTATGGAATCTAACTCGCATTCACAGAGACCTCTGTACGTACAATTAATAATTTCACGTTAAGCTAATTATTCAACAAAAACTGTATTTCATTAGTTTTAAAAATACTCGAAGATATTATGCTATATGTCACTACAAATCCTTCAGAAATAGATTAATCAATATTCACTGAAATAAAGCTTATTTATAAGCTTCATTAGAGTACTGATTTATTTACAGCATTTCAATAGTATCTAATTGAAAAGAAAGCATAATTTCAAACTAGTCATAATATAGCGTATACAGTAGGAAACAGAGGATGAATGAAGAAAATAATGTTATTCTGCCTTCAGAGATATACAAAAAAAGCTCATTTTTTTTATTCAGCAAGGGCGCATTAAATCCTTGAAATTTAATTATTTTCGTTTGCATTAATCATAAATACTTGTTCATATTACATTGTAGATTTTCACCAGCAAAATCTTCGATCAATTGTTATGATTCATTCGATCCTGAAATACTACCCATGAAACTTGAGTCACGTCCAATAACAAAGACTGTTAAATTTGATGACAATTTAAAAGAAAATATCGATACATCTTCTGATTTAAAACAAGCTGAATCTATATGGTCTACATTATTAAAATATTCAGATAATCGTACATTATTTGACGAAAAATCGGATAAAGTTGTCAATCACTATTCTCAACAGGCTGAAACTGAAGATAATATATTCAATGTACTTTCTCCTAAACGTCGACATTCGTCAATTTCTAATGATTCATGTAAAGCAACTCCTACATTGTCAAAACGAGTAAAAACTTTGTCATCAGTCAAATCTCAAAATTTATCGAAACATTCTGTACATACAACAAAAATTGGTTCCATTTCACTCCCATGGCCACCATATAAAATACATGATACCGTATACATGGACAAAAAATATACTGTAATAAACACGTGCTCTATTGATTCCGCGCTCTTCGTATTTTATCATTCTTATAAGACAAGTAGTTCTGAGTTTCGGAAATTGTTTGAAGTCGATACTACTAAGTGTCATATTGCTCTGCGTAAATTATTCAAATTAATTGACACTGATGGATAGAACATAGCACGCTTGCATTGGCTGTTATCCAATAATTTGCTTAATAAAATTAATGCAATTGGAGAATTCGATATAGAAAACACACTTTATGAGAATGTGTTGCAATTTGTACGCCCAATGCAAACGTACAATATTAAATCAGAATGCACCTGTGTTATCTGCCCTAGGCACATTCGACAAAGCAAAAGCATGGATATATCATTATCGTAAGTTCCATATCTTTTACATTTTTAGTGGAAAATAAAGTCTATCTTCAAATATAATCGAGCTCTATTGATTGCCGATTTTCAATTAAAATATAAGCGTCAACCATTTTTGCCACTATACTGGACACATTTTTCAAAATTTCAAAAGAAATTCCTTTTTTCAACTTTTTTTTATCTATTTTTTTATAATTATGATAACAGATTATATCCAATTAAATTGTAACAGGTGTATTGAAAGCATTCTTCTTAAATAGTTGTCAATAATCTAAACGAAAATGGACTAAAAGAAAAACACAAGAAACGCTTTTTTTCTTTCACATTTCGTTTCTAAACATTCCCAAATATCACTTCAACATGTTAACATACTAGTATCACTCATGCAATACTGATAAAAAATAATTATAGGAACGTTAGGGATAATTCTTGAAGATTTCCTTCCAGATTCATGTCCGGTTCAGTAAGCAATCCTTCCAGGCTCAGATCTATGATATTTTTCATCCAAATACTTAACTTATTTCAACCTACCAGTTCTCTTAAAAATAACTGGATCACTAGCCATGCCACCTTGAACCACTCATTCAATTTATAATCGGTGAATTATGGGCCATTTCTTTATGCAGCACACGCGTGTCCGAATCATGATAACAAATCTTTAACCCTAAAATAAAAGGAAACCGTTCTTAGAGAAACAGCTAGTCATTTGATCCAGTTCTTGAAAAAAAAGGACATGTTCATAGAAGTGTGAGCGATTCTGGCTCTCTCCTTGATTCGCCGTTTTCTTCTAATGAAACTAAAAGACCCTCAAGCAAGTCTAATATGCACCGCAGTCTGAGAGGTTTTTCTAATGAAAAAACAACTTTGACATTAAAAACTATAATTTCGATTCATTTGCCACATATTTCATACGTAGTCTTCAAAAACTTTATTAAGCAAATAAATCTCTTCGAATAATATAGAAAAAGGAACGGTGTATATCCAGCAGTCATCGACAGCTTCACATCTGAGCGAATTGGTTCATGTGGTGCCAACCTTGGAGAAACTATGCCACCTGCTTATCCTGCTCCTGCGAGTTGGGACGCCCACTTTCCAGTAATCGACGCCGAAACCGGTATCACCACCACAGGGTAAGTACGCTGATACAAAAACGATTACTTTTTTTTTCAAGTTATCTATATGTATTCAACAGAACTCGCTATATCTGCGATGCCGTTCGCACAACATTTCCATCAACGTTCGACAATACACCGCCGTTTCTCATTCTCAATGTCGGTACCAACAACTCGCCTGCAACAGAATTACCCACATCTTTAAATGTTGGCAACTATATGTCAGTAAAGCTATATATAAACATATCATATATTTCTTAAAAAAATGCATCTTTCTCTTTAGCTATGATTTTACAGCCGGTCTTGCTAATACCGGTAACCACTTTGTTGCAATAATAAAAACCAACACCAACCAATATGTAATCTTTGACGACACACATTGTGATGGCATTCGTTCCTACTATGGGCTCCAACAGTGTGACTTCGCTGTCTATCAACTGCGTATTTGACGTCGTGCAACTCATCGTTTCAAATACTACTTCAGAGACTCATTATTCTATATGTGAAATTGTTCTCCCCTCTTAAAACTAACAATAAAATCTTCAAAAATGTATATTCATACGAATAAAAATAGATACCCTATACTTTTCCAAAAGAACTATATATTCATTCAAACTGAGTATTAGACATGTGGGTGCAATGTGGGTGCGGGTGTGGCGTGTGGCTATGGGCGGCGGGAGCCCCTGGGGTTGAGTGCGGATACCCGGTATTGCTCTGGGTACGAGCAGTGCATACACACACACAGCAACAATCACATCCACGCCTACATTCACAGCCATATTAGTGAATATTTCCTCGACTTCACGGTCCTGAGGTCTGGTTCTCATAGGTACTGACCACTTACAGCGTGCACCTTGACTTGGATCATCGCTTATTTCGCATCAATCTATAGATATCATCGAGTTCTATCTGCCACAAGTGATTTCACCGGTGCCACAACCATCTAAGCCGATATTTGCTCGGATTAAGGCCCCCCAGACCTGGTTCTCACAGGTACTAACCATTTTGTCCCTGTATGTCGACTTGGATCATCGCGTAATGGGTACGAATCGATAGATCACATCGAATTCTATCTGGCACAAGGGATTTCACCTGTGGCACAGCCATCTAACAAATATTTGCCCCGATTACGGGTCCCGAGACCTGGTTCTCACAGGTACTGACCACTTTATCCCTGTATATTGACTTGGATCATTGCGTAATGGGTACCAATCGATAGGTCTAATCGAGTTCTATCTGGCACAAGTGATTTCATCACTGGCACAACCATCTAAACGAATATTTGCGCGGATTGCGGGTCCTGACACCTGGTTCTCATAGCTACTGACCACTTGGACCCTGTATATTGACTTGGATCATCGCGTAATCGGTACCAATCGATAGATCTCATCGAGTTCTATCTGGCACAAGTGATTTCACCACTGGCACAACCATCTAAGCGAATATTTGCCCGGGTTACGGGTCCAGACACCTGGTTCTCATAGCTACTGACCACTTGGATCCTGTACGTTGACTTGGAGCATCGCTTATTTGGCATCAATCGATAGATCTCATCGAGTTCTATCTGGTACAAATGATTTCACCAGTGTCACAACCATCTAAGCGAATATTGGCTCGGGTCACGGGTCCGCAGAGCTAGTTCCCAAAGGTACTGACCACTTGAATCCTGCACGTTAACTTCGATCATCGCTTATTTCGCATCCAGCGATAGATCTCATCGAGTTCTATCTGGTACAAATGATTTCACCAGTGGCACAACCGTCTAAGCGAATACTTGCGCGGGTTACGGGTCCACAGTCCTGGTTCCCAAAGGTACTCACCACTTGGACCTTGTACGTTGACTTCGATCATCGCTTATTTCGCATCAATCGATAGATCTAATCGAGTTCTATCTGGCACAAGTGATTTCACCACTGGCACAACCATGTAAGCGAATATTTGCTCGGATTACGGGCCCCGAGATCTGGTTCTCATAGGTACTAACCACTTTATCCCTGTACGTTGACTTGGAGCATCGCTTATTTGGCATCAATCGTTAGATCTCATCGATTTCTATCTGGTACAAATGATTTCACCACTGGCACAACCATCTAAGCGAATATTTGCCCGGATTCCGGGTGCTGAGACCTGGTTCTCATAGCTACTGACCACTTGGACCCTGTACGTTGACTTGGAGCATCGCTTATTTGGCATCAATCGATAGATCTCATCGAGTTCTATCTGGTACAAATGATTTCACCAGTGTCATAACCATCTAAGCGAATATTGGCCCGGATTACGGGTCCCGAGACCTGGTTCTCATAGCTACTGACCACTTTATCCCTGTATGTTGACTTGGATCATCGCGTAATGGGTACCAATCGATAGATCTGATCGAGTTCTATCTGGCACAAGTGATTTCACCGCTGGCACAACCATCTAAGCGAATATTTGCTCGGATTACGGGTCCTGAGACCTGGTTCTCATAGGTACTGACCACTTGGACCCTGTACGTTGACGTGGATCATCGCGTAATGGGTACCAATCGATAGATCTCATCGAGTTCTATCTGGCACAAGTGATTTCACCACTGGCACAACCATGTAAGCGAATAGTTGCCCGGATTAAAGGTGGCGGAAGTTGGTTTTCGAGGTGCTGACCACTTGGTCCCTGTATGTTGGCTTGGATCGTCGCGTAATGGGTACCAATCGATAGATCTCATCGAATTCTATCTGGCACAAGTGATTTCGTGAGTGGCACAGGATGAAGAGCGAATATTTGGTGGAAATACTGATATTCGCAGTAAAAAAAGCGTTTTTTTATCAGTTTTTTTTATTTTTCCGGTAAACGATGTAGTTAAAAGGTGTTGAACCTATGGCATTGTATAGTATATTCGATGGGCTACCTGGTACAACCATTGTTTAATCTGGCACAGCTGTTGTTGCGAATATTTGGCGGAAATACTCGAATCTGCTGCTAACTTTACTTACATCATCATTTCGTCAGTCTGGGGACCAGTGAATCAACATGCGATGTTGATGAACATTACTTGTGTTTAAACCAATATCGATATTCAATAGGATTAATCGAAAAATTATATGGTTTGTTTTCTGCTGTTATATTTGCATTCTTTCGTATAGCTGATGGTGATCTTAGTATTAATTCTGTTGTCGTATTTCTTATTGCTGAAATTTTTATTATAGATGTCTCATTGAAATCTTAAGAAATAAAGTGACTTATAGATCAAGATTTGAATTGGTAAGTGGGATAGAAGCGAGTTATGGTTTGATGGAATGATATGTACTAATAGATAAATGTTAATTCTAATTTTTTTTAAATATTCTTCTAATTGGCATTAATCTTGCGTATCGATAAATCACGTGTATATTACATGTCAATATTTGATGATACGTGAGCAAGAATTGATGCTATTGAAAGAGAATATTTTCAAAGTTGACTTATGAAATTGTATCTATTTTTTAATCGGGAAAATTTCATCATGGAAACAAAAAAAGTTTCATAGACATAATAACCTAAACAATGAAGATTTTCTACAAAAACTACTATATTGCTCCTAAATAATATTTTTTTGTTGTTGTTTCTGTGAAGCAAAAACATTGCCTATAGCATTATGAAGAAAATGTCTTGTAGCATGACGTTGATCCGGATGTAGCATTTTAGCATATGCTAAATCAGTAAAAATAATTATTTTATTTATAATAATTGTTAGTACAATTACCTCTAATATCAGATTTTTGTTGATTTGACATCCCGGAAATAGACATAGAAGCTTGTATATGAATATCAGGATATAAACATTTTGTAATTGCTCGGCAAGTTTTTCTAATATCAGTGTCATGTTTACATTCTTTTAATTGTTTCTTTGTTAATTTCAAACGACGACGAGTTTTTTCTTCTTTTCGTTTACGTTTCGATTTTTTTTCCATTGTTTTAATGAAATTTGTTGAGATAACATCAACTGATTGAGTAAATTTAGAAGAAGCTTGCGCTTCCGAACCCGTAGGTCTATTTAAAAAATTGGTTTTGACATATTAATCAAATGAATAACCTACTTTGGCATCCATTGAGATTTATAAAATTGTATTTGTTTTTTTAATTGATAATTCTCTTTCAATACTTCAGCAAATGATATATAAGAAGAATGGATGTATTCGTTCTCCTTTGAACAACCTATAAAACAATGGATGAATTAAGTTAGCATAGTTCAAGGTCGTTCAAATAATAAAAAAACGGTGACACATATGAATAAATATAAATTTTTATTCAGTAGCTGAATATCTGTAAACTATAAATTTTCTTAATTCCATTGTTATAGTTATTAATATACATAGAATTATTGGTCCTAAACGTTTCTGAATCATATGCAATTAATAATAACCTTCTTGGACATTGTATAGTTGTTGAAAGGTACAATATTTCATTCTTTTTTCAACAATAGTACCATTACTTTTTAATTCAAATCTTTTGATGACCTATTTGCATTCAAAATAGAGTCCTACTCTTACGTTCTTCCGAATAATGAAAACGACATGAATTTTCGTTTTTGTTTCGTTCTAAAACTCTACGTTAATAATGAACAACTTTTATCATTACCTGATGAGAATGATGATATAGAAGAATCTTCATCAGTTAAAGTTTGTAATGGTGACATAGATGTTGATTTATCATGTGAACCAAGGATAACTATTGATGATTGTGTAACACCTGGTGGAACATCTAAAATATCAAGTAATATCGTACCCGTCAGAAAGTTAATGAATCAATCACATTAGTACTTACCTTCATTTGGACATGGACATTCATTCGAATTTTCATCAATACAAAGCACATTACTTTTAGAATTCGTACTCAACGAATTTTCTTTTTCGTCAATCTTATCGAATTTTGTTGGTTGACTATTTTCAGTAATTGACGAGTCATCGTCTTCACCTGAAAAGCAAAAAAAAATTGTTTTCAATTTTTTATTTATCCACACTATAAATTCTTTAGATGTTTAGTGGAAAATTTTGACGAACCTGATGTATCCAAATAATGTTTTCTGACTAAGATCATTCGATGATGGACCTTTTTAGATGAATGAAGAATTTTGTGACCAACTGGCTTCACCAATTTCTCAAATGTTCTTCGTCTTGTCATCATTTTCAAAGGAAAATGTTTATTTAAAAGAGACAGATATACAAAATTATTAACAAAACCAAAATCGATCTATGAAATATAATATTTCCCAAGAAATATTTCAAGAAAAATACTAATGAACATTGAACAGCAATGCAATGTAATACATGTTTAAAGTTATGCATTTCGTATTGGCGCAAAACAATGGAGGCCGTGATGTTAATAGATGTCGTACGAATACCATTATATTAATTCTTCATTTAATTATTCTGATTTTGACATGGAAAAATAATCAAATTAAGTCAGTTGAATTTCCAATTTAATTCATTTATTGTCTTTCGTTACAAACAAAGAATCTCGATTCTCACATATTTTAAATATTGATTCTCATACATACTTCATCTATACACCATAAACATTACTAAAAACAAATGAATAAGTGCGAGAATTGTGATAAATCAATCTGATATAATTCCCACACAAAATGTAATAGTCAATTTTTTTCAGAAATAAGACGTATGGTAGGGTATAAATTTGTTGAATAGTTTCAGCTGCATCATTTGTTAACCCTTTCAGGCCCATGGCTCAGCCAACCGATGAAATTTCTTGGAGACTTTATATTTAATATAGGCAGTGTGTGTTGTGACTTTTTTCACCAAAATTTTGAAAAAATCTTTCAAGTCATTTTTGGCCCATCCCCGTAGGGGGGTACGGCAGTGGTCAAAATTCAATTGAAAGCTTTCGCAAAATCAACCTTTGGAATATGACAAGGAGCCACTCTTAACTTGATTCCAACGCGAAAAAGCGAAATATTTTGGAGACTGCAAAAGAGAATTGTTTGCCCTCCTTCTCCTAAAAGTGGTATCTCAAAAACTCTTCAGGCTTACTACCTGAGTGGCTCCATTAAGGTTATAATTCTTATATAGATGTATGCACTGAAGTCTCTTCTATGTTGTAGAGAAAACTGCTTTTCGATATCTTTTTGTATTCGCGAGTTATTCAAAGATTACAATACTTGAAAAAACCGTACTATATTTAGTACGGTGGGCCGGAAAGGGTTAATATCATATTATTTACAAAGAAAAATAAAAAGAAATGTATCAACAATAATAATAATGCATGATCATCCATTAATAAACACCGGTACTAGATGTCAAAACACTATTGAATATTAAATCATAATGCTTATATTTATTCTTGAAAAATTCCACAATTTAGATCGACATTTTTTATATATATATAAATAGTGATAAAGAAAAAAATCGATTCGTACCAAAGTATTAAAGCACAAAAATAATACATAATAATCTAATATTGATTAATCGTTTATTTTTATATTACTTGCATTATCATCACTGTTATCGAATGATAATGCATTTCATTGCAATAAAATTTAAATAAAGAACACTATCTAAGTCTTAAGCTGAAATTAAGAACCATTTCAGATATAATCGGTAGGAAAAGTCCGAACATTTCCACTATATGGTATTCTCCAACGATGAATAGTGAAGTCGAGAGAACAGTTAATACAATGCCATAAACAGTATTAACGGGAAAATAACCAAATGAGCACACACAAGATTTCGGACTTTTTTCGTTCATCAAAGAAGAAACTTTTTCTACAACTAATAGGAGAAAAAAAACAATCATAATCTCACATCTATTTTCTTATAATCAAAAGATTGATCATAAAGTATAGGTTTAATAATACGTGATTTACATTGATGATTAGATGATAAATTCGTCATAGTTTTGCTCTATTCAATGAATGACAATACATTTTCTAAATGAATGACCCAAACAATATGTAAGATATAGAAAGAAGACAGATTTGCTTACATGCATCCATACTCACTCATTTGGTACGATAATTCGAGAGGCCTTGTGTTATATAATATTAATTATTTCCTTTTTCCTCTCCTAACCCTCTAATTATTTTTCTTCTTCTTCCATTCATATCAACATTTTTTTGTTTTTTTCGTTCTTCCTTTCTTTTATTAAAAATAAAACAAAAAGTACAAAATTACAAAATTGTTCCAATTCGATATTATTTCATATTGATTTGCTTAATTTGTGTAATTCTATTCCTGTGTATTAATTATTGAAAATGCATTAAAATGCATTAAATCGCATTAAAATGCATTAAATCGCATTAA